TGCCGTCCAAAAAATCGATGAAATCAAACTACTAAAATCTCTAGATTATAAGACGTTAAAAAGGCAACCCTCATTTTTTATGTGCCACGACCACCCCACTCGGGGACTGATACTTTGACCAAGTTTGAAGTGTAACCGAGAAATAATCCCAAGAAGCAAATCCCAAGTTAAAGGTTACAGCCAAACCACCACGGTTCAGAGACGTCCGAATTCCGTAATAAAACAGGCCTTCTAATATTTTCACATAAATCGGTTAAAAGGGCTACGCTCAGCAAAATAATAAAGGGTTTTGATAATATCAACCCTCGAAAACCTAAGGGCTACCAGATTGTTCGAACTCTCGAAAAACCTTATTTAATATTAAGGCATAACAAATCTTTATATGATCAATTCTTTTAAGCAAAAAAAGGGGAAAAAGCTATTCTTTTGAGGCCATATCGGCCTAATTCAAGAGCCTAAGCGCCGTTCCATTTTTTGAGTTCGAGAAGTCATCCTCACTCAACTAAAACCTAAGGGTCATCCTACTTCGAGTTCAAGTAAATACTCGCTCGATTATAAAGACTACACCAGTCCGACTTTGATCAAATTGCCCAAACCTCGTATTTATGAAAGTTTTTAAGACATGGATGAAACAGAATTTGCGCGAGGTAGAAATTGAAATAAAGACAAGTCAGAGAGAAGAGATATCTTTTATATATATGAAAATATTTACAAGGACCGATCAGGATCCTACACAAAAATTCAAAAAAGAAAAATCCTAAGTGCCTAATTTTCCTCGGGAGCTACATCTTCGCCATCAGGATCTCCTCCGCTCTCGGATCCACTCCCGCTCTCGGAATCATCATCATAAGAAAAGAGCAACACTTTGGCTTCGGCCTCAAGCTCTTTCGCATTCTCTATCTCGACAGCAAGGTTAAAACCACGAGCATGAATCTCCTCAAGAGTCTCTTTTCGAGACTGGCACTTGATATGTTTGGCAACCCAGTATACTCGACTCTGAGTAGCATCGGCAACCTCTTTTGCTCGAGCTTGAGCGGCCTTGGTGTTAGATCGGTATACAGACATGATCACCTCAGCATCGACCTTAGCCGTCTCAACCTCAGATTTCACCGCTGCAAGCTCCATGTCCAACCGAGCCTGTAGTTCCTCAATTTTCTTCACTAGTTCCAAGTTCTTCTGTTTCATGCCTTGAAGTTGGCTTTCGGTTGAGGATAACTTAGCTCGAGCAACCTTTTTCTCTAAGGCAAGGCGGTCCATCTTTTGCTTCCATACCGCAATCTCCGCCTTCACCTCATCCACCTCTCCTCGGAGTTGCACGATCGTTTCTTGCAGCCGCTGGACCTGTAAGATCGAATCATTAGACATCACTCCTAAACCAAGGCCATAAGCATCTAAGACTTTATTTACTTGCTCGGTCAGTTCTCTTTGCTCTCTCTGGGCCATGGCCGGCTCAACTCGGAGGCCTTTGATCTCTTTTTCCCTTTGCTCGGCGAGAAGCCTGAGAGCATTTTTCTCCTTGGTAAGCCCTTGAATTTTAGCCTCGTATCGGCTCAACTCTCTTCGAGACTTAAATAAAGCCTCATGATGAAGTACCGAGGCTTACAAAAATAGAAGGGAAAGAGTTAGGCAAGGAGAGAAAAACACAAGTATGAAAACCGGCATTAACACAAAAAGTTAATGCTTACCCGATTCAAAGCTTGCTGGGCCTCATTGAAGAGACATGGTGCTCCCACCTCGTCCATCAGAGGTTGATCTTCCTCGGTGACCAAACCTTGAAGGTAACTGGACACCTCTACGAGGCGGCAAAAACTCGTGCATCCTCCGGGACCGTAATAATAATAGTCCGTTTGCACTCGGGATCCACATTGGGGCTGGAAATTGGTTGGTCAATCTGAAACTCGAGGAAGATTCGCCCAAACTCCTCCTCGGTACGTTCGAGTCATTCAAGCCAGCGACATCGTCGACCCCAGCAAAACAACCTTGGAAAAGGTCCTCCCCTCCGAGGGCACCTTCTACTTGAGGGGCCTTCATGGCCTGAGCCTCCCGAACTTCCCCTTCCGAGAATAAAGGAAGAAGTGGGAGTCTCCGATTTCTATTGCCCCAAGTGAATCACTTGTGGTGTTCTCTTCATTTCGAAGGGCCTCGGAGCCAGCTCCTTTGGACATACCCGCTGACTGCTCATTCCGGCGGGAGGCATCTTCAGTCTCCAATAACTCGGGGGCTTTGCCCGGAACCTCTTCCAAGACCCATCTCGATTTGAGGCTGAATCTCTCCAACCCTCACCAACTCAGTGGCCTTTGGGGCCTCGGTGTTCCTCTTCGTTCGGGCCACCAGCTCGGAGCTGTCCTCTTCATTTTCCTCCTCTTCCTCTCTTGGTCGCTGACCTACCTCCGCGGGCAGGACAACGGTGTCTTTCTTTGACTTATGAGCCTCACTCTTCTTGGGCTTTGGAGCATCGGAGGTCAAGACCCTTTTTCTCTTTTTATCCTTCACCAGCTTCGAGACCGGGGGCGAAACATCCTCCTTCCTGGACGGGGGCCTCATGGAAGCATCTTTTTCGAGGCATGTATGAAAGGAAATCAAGTGTGTATGAAAAGAAACATTTCAGCAAAAATCATCAAATATTTGAAAAGAGGGCTTACCTTGATTTTTGGCCTCCCATCGTCCCCTTGATAAATCACGCCATGAGCGCTCACCGTACGAGGAGGTCGAAACCAGGGCCCGAACCCAGCGCTCGAGGTTAGGAATTGTACCGGGAATCCAAGAGACTGCTACATCATAGAAAAGGATGTCGATGAGGAGAAGCAAAGAAAACAAAACAATAAATGGAAGCTAAAGGCAGGATTGTACTTACGCTTCATATTCCACTTCTCGGGAAATGGAATCTTCTCAACCAGAATTAGGTCGGGAATTTTCACTCAAACGAACCTTACCATCCACCATCGATCCTTGTCCTCATCTATGCTAGAGAATAATACCTTGGTGGGCCAGCACTGAAATTTATTAACTCGCCTTGAAAGAGACGGGGGCTGTACAATCTGATGAGGTGGTCGAGGGTGAAAGGCATCCCTTCGACTTTTCTCGAGAAGAATCGGAGCAGAATGACAATCCGCCAAAAAGAGGGATGGATCTGACCTAGGGTTATTTGATATTGACGGCAAAAATCGATGCTGGGGGGATCGGCAGGGCCCAGCGTGAAAGGGTAAGTGTAAACACTTAGAAACCCTTCCACATGGGTAGTGATGTTTTCTTCGGGGGCCAGAATCACCACCTCTTTATCTTCCCAGTGACAGTCTTTCTTTACCTGCTCGAGGTTACTCTCAGTTATCGAGCACATATATCTCGACATTAGCTCGCACTGACCAGGGACTGACGAAGTTTTCTCGACTTTGAAGTCGGAATCAAGGACACCCCCGGGAACGCACTCCTCAGGGCGCGGATCCACCGGTATTTTATCGCCGACCGATCGCTATGAAGAGGTGTTTTCCTTTTGAGGAATAGTTTTTGACGTTTTTGGCATTTTTATGTAAGTTCAAAGAAAGAAGAAGAGAATAAGGATTGGTGTTTCGAGGGATGTTGATAAAGAAACCTAGAGATTATGTAGAACGGAAAAGCTTAAAAGATGTAAAAAGCTTTGAAGATTAGAGCAAAGATCAAGAGTAACGTTTGGGCAAAGAGAAAGAAAGTATATTTATAGGATGAAGATGACGGTTCAGAAACAATAATGGCCAACAACAACTGATAGGCATTTAATGCCTCGATATATGAACCGACGGGACGTTTCAGTCACCTCTGTCGCTTATGTCATGAGGATGACATCATGACAAGTCGAGGTACAAAATCGAAGGTTCAATTCGTTTCTTCTCATTACATTCCAAGAAACGAGGGGACTATCAGTATACGGTTAAAACCGAGTCCACCCGGTTTTACTATTTGATCGAAGCCAGGGAGTTGCATCGAAGGTCGGCCCCACAGTGGATCAGACCGGAGCACGAGGACAATGTATCGAGTTCGAGAATCGAGGTGCCTATCGAGATCGAGGCCAGTAGCAATCGAGACCAAATAGGGCAGACGTCGAGCAAAGCGCAATAACAGAAAGGCGAGATATACGTGACTGGTCGAAGATCATGGCAAAAATCTCGGAACAGATCAAATATAGGGCGGTTGTTTAGGCTAATCATGAGATTTACTTCCGTAATTAGAATTGTACCATAGATAGGATTCCTCTACTATATAAAGAGGGTTCTAATCATTTTGTAAGCACTTTACATTCATGCATATCAAAGCAATACAATACTTTCTGTCCAACTTATATTCTTGTTCATCTGCTTGTTATATTTCTAACTGTTCTTGCACCGATCAATTTGAGGGTATTCAAGCTCGAGGGCTGTTCAAACACTGGTTTGCTTTATATTATTGTTAATTTCTATTACTAATCTTCATATTTATCAATTGATATTAGGTGAAGTCACGTGTCCTTAAAACCACATTATAAGTTTAATTGTTATCCAACTTTTAGGGTAAACAGTTGTAACAATACAACATCATTTATTACTTGAGTTAGTAATACCGTGACAACGTACGCCACGTGCTTGAAAGTCAAATTCATGTTGTTTTAATGTGATTTGAGACAGACTTCTTAGTCTCAACACCTTAACCTTCATCACTAAACCAATACACCACTTTTTGTTCCACATTGACGATATTGGCGTTTGTCATTAGCAACTTACGCAATTGTATAATCAGTGATATGAATTCTGTCTTCATTCCGCTCTATCAAGATCCAATTTGTTCTAGATGATTAAAGAATTTATGATAGTCAGATTATTTTATGCAGATGGTTAACTTACAACGATTCTCTTTATTTGAATTATGCATTAGAAAGCGATTATAGTTAGCAAAACTCACGTTGGCATAGCTAAACATACTTAAAACAAACTAAATTGACAGCTTGGCAAATTGAGAAGGACAAGTTGAATTAGAAAATGCAAAGTCTGGAATTGTAGATAAGCCTGATGACAATTCACAATTGTATTGTTACATTTATAAGTTGATACAACATGACCCTATGGCCATGAGGTAAAATTCGAGAAGTGGAAGGAAAAACGTTTTATTCCTTCTACCTCAAAAGAATGTATGGTACATCAACCTACAGAATATTGGAACCAAAATAAATAAAGGTTCTACATATTCAATATCTATGATTTCCTTTCTTGTATCTGATTTTGGAGGAGGAGGTTTTCAGTGAAAATGAATTGGCCTAAGATCAAATAGCCTTTAGTCCAGCCAGCCCCCGTAGCTTCTCACAGAGTACAAAAGTAATCATGGTTTGTGGAGCCAATCTTGCAAATATTGTAAGGCCTCTGAAATTTTTCCAAATTTAAGAAACAAATAAGTAGTGAATTAACCAGTAACTTTGTAAAGTTACAGGAACTAAATTACTAACACCTAAGTCAGGCATGTTTCAACTTACCCTTTGTAAAGACCAGAAGGACCTTCAGTGCGAAGTACCTGGAATCACAAGGTTTCATGAAAAATAAGTTCAATATAATCTTAGTTTTTTAAGACTATAATCACAAGCATTGCCAAAATTTTCCCAAATGTTTTTCCTAACCCCTACTGCTTTATATATCCTATCCTACGTCCGCACAACCCCTAGATATGGCTTTGCAGTAGCTCATTCCCGATCAGATATTTTACCATTCAGTTCTTCCCCTCTTTACTAAGTTTTTTGTTATGATTTTGACTAAAAGATGGATGAAAGTCGAATATAATTTTATCCCGAATGCAAAACAAAACGCCTAGTGAAGAAGACTTGACTATGTTAACAAGTACGCTATATTAAAGTAAAAAAAAATGAAATAGCTTGCTGAACACAACTGTGGATAAATAATCATAGAAAAGGGTGGAATGAGAGGTTGCGATGTAACAACCTGATATGCACAGTGCAATCCATTTCTATACATTCCGGCACAACTTGATTCTCTCTGCAACATAAGACGGGTTTTAACCATGTCCATTGGTGCTGTCATAAGCGTGCTTACCGTCCCCGCAATTATACTTGAGCTTCATAATATGCAGAAGAAGAGTTAGCATATAATGGACTGAAAAATGATGAAAAGTAGAAATATTTATTCTCCCAAAACATAAAAAGAAGATGAAAACATTCTTGAAACACCAGCTCCGACAGATGGCATAGGAATTAATCTCCGCAAATTACGCTTATACATGCAGAAGCCCATGACAGGAAGAGACTAAAAACTTTCTGGGAATAGAAGGGCTATCAAAACATAGTCGCTTTTAGATTCAGTGCATCCCAACAACACTCCAACACTTGGACAAGTTACCCGTGTTCGTTGTGTAATAATCTAGATATGCATGCTAACAGAATCCTTTAGATAATTTTAAGAATCAGTTACTGGCACAATGAAAGATATGGAAGATAAAAATATACTAAATGCAGGCCCACTCCTGGATGTTCTATTTCATGCTAATTATATTCAGAGTCTAACTTAAAACCATCATTTTCGCCAAAGTGCTCAGTAGCCTTGCATCTAAAAAAGAAGGTGCATGCATTGCTTCAAGTCAATCATAAACACTCATTTTCTCTAACAATACGAGCATATTTGAATATTTTTACAGTGATGGAAAGTGCCTACATGAGATGAAGATGAAATCCTTCCTCCAGGTGAGTATACTTTATAAGCGCCTGTTTGGATTCATCATAAGTCGCCAACTGAGATGCAGTCAAAGTGGCAGCTCTGGCCATAGCAGGCCCAACTCCCTTCCAAAGAGCTCTTACTCCCTCTTCCGAAGCAATTCTCCTCATTTCATGGATTTGTCCTAAGCTCGATCTTGTGTTCATTTGCAGCCGCACCTGGAAACAAGCATAACAAATGAGGACCGTTCAGCGGAATCATAAGACCTTCATAAGAGAATACCTTCAAGACTTCGACAGGATTGGTCAGTGCTGTGGCTATGGCCCCTGAGAATGCTCCAGATGCAATCTTCACCAAGATATTGGTGGACCCAAAAGCCAATTCACAGAGATATTTAGATGGTTCATATAAGCCTAAACGGAGGCCACCATAAAGAACTGACCTCGTCAATGCAGGTGCCAATCCTAGATACAAGGATTTCAGCCCTTCACTTTCGACTACTTGAAGAGAAAGCCTCCCCTATCACCAATCAAATAGGACATATAATCACATAAGCAGCAGCTATTATATATCGTTCTAAGCAATAAAAAGGGATACAAAACCAAAAAGTATAAGCTTTATCTCATACCATTCCGACCAAAGGACCTCTCTGACCAACAAGTTGCATCTGCAGTCTAACTTTTATAACATCTGCACATAATAAGCAAAAGATCATGTTCTCTGAAAGACAACTACAACTAGGTTGGAGGGAGAGGAAATTAGGTTACGCATTCATTCCTTCCATATCATTGGGCTGTTTTTGATCTTCCAGTTAAAATTATATAACGGCTCAAGTACATGGAAGAGTAACAAGATAGCGCGAGACATTCATGTACTTAATTTTCCATAGTTGAATGCTTTATCTCATTTCATGCTCTTGAGTAGTATAGTACAGTAGCGATTATATATGAACTCAGAAGTTTTAGATAGTTATATGAGAAAATAAACAGTGGTTGGAACTAATTTGTTCTTTTTAAAAGGAAAGGTAATTTAGCATGACTGACAACAGACCCCAGTAAAACGTAGGACGAGCAACTTAATATCCCCAAATCTATTTTGAAACTTTGCAACTCAAAAGTCACACATCATCAAACGGATTAGTATTTGTTCGTATTAAACACGAGTGACATGATCCATCTTGTCTGATTATAAAGAAGGATTATACTTTCTACCCTGACCTTTAACTAAATTGTCCAAGCAAAAACAAAGTGATAGCTAATTCTTAGTCTCATTTTTTCATCATCATAGAAGAATACTTAGCTACATTTTCAGCTAAAGTTTCCTCCTTTAAGCCAGCCCTTTACATCTTAAGGTCAAAGCAACAAAACAAAATTCAATAGAGTGGTAACTGGTATGTGGTAGAATCAATAAATAAGCATTTACAAAGATACTACTAATTAAGTGAAGAAAAAACCTAAAGGATGAGTGATGCCAGTAGCAGCAGCAACAGACATTCCACTGGTACCAAAATGAGACACAACATCAGAGATTGAAACACCCAATTTTCGTCTCTCCATTGATCCTGGTAAAAGATTAGGAAAAAAAAAATCAAAATACACCAAGAGAAAAGAATTAACTTTTTTCTATAACGACGTACAATAAACTATGCTGGGTAATTCGATGGATAAATCAACATATTAAATTGGCATATAGAAGAAATGGGGGTTCAATCAAGAACCTGAAGAGAGAGTTTTTCCGGTTGCCGGCGTTGAGGCGCCTGCCATTCTTGAGAGTCTGCTGCGTTTTTTATTTTTTATTTTTTTCCCCTTCTAAATGATTGAATTGAACCGTGAAAGAGCGCTTATTTCAGATTATAACTGAATCTGTTAACGGTGCGCTTTCCAAGAAAGCTCTATGCCTTGTTGGTTGGTATCCTTTGGCCTGCCTCATGCCTATTTAGACCTTATTTTCCATTATTTAATTCTCTCCATAAATCTGGGTCAAAAAGAAGAAAATGTTATAAAATAAATACAAGTATAGAGAGAAAGTGATATATTATTCGAATTCAAATTGATGTACATAATGAACTGAAATCTCTTCTATTTATAGAAGAAAGGAAGCTGCTGTGTAAGTTGCTACTATACCCGGTATGGATAATCATCTACTGAGAGCAATGTTTATCCATAACGGAGTACTGAAAGGATAAACTTATTATACCCGGTATGGATAATCTTCTACCGGGGGTAATGTTTATCCATAACCGGGTATCGAAGTGATAAGCTTCTTCAGGAAGCTTATTTCCAATAGAGTACTTAAATAGATAAACATATTTACGGTGGAGTCCCATATGGATAAGCTTCTTCAGGAAGCTTATTTACAACGGAGTACTAAATGAACATCCATAATATAATATATTTATAACACTCCCCCTTGGATGTTCATTAAAAGATAATGTGCCTCATTAAAACCTTACTAGGAAAAACCACATGGGAAAAAATCCTAGTGAAGGAAAAAGAGTACACATATTTAGTAATACGCATTGCTGGCTGCCTTATTAAAAACCTTATAAGGAAAACCCTGTGGGAAAAAACTTAGTAAGAGAAAAAGAGTACAGGGCGCATTTTACTCCCCCTGAAGAAAACCTTATTTCAAATATTTGAGTCTCCACATTCCAATTTTGTATACCATATTCTCTAAAATTGATGTTGGTAAAAACAATCTGTTGGATTGTCACTTGAACTAATTTGATGCACTATGTCACAATTTTCTTGAAGATCATGTATATAGAATAATTCTGGTGAAATGTTCTTCGTTTTATCTCCTTCTATAAATCTTCCCTTTAATAGTGCTATGCATGAAACATTGTCTTCGTATAATATTGTGGGTCTTTTATCACATTCCAACCCATATGTTTCTTGAATGAATCACTGATCTCAATCATATGCACTCCCTGCTTGCAGGTTTGAAATCGAGCTTTATGGGTATCAGATAAATAACCTGCATCTGCATTACCAATACGATCTGCACCACTTTTGTTAGCATTAGCAAGATAAATAAGTGCACCATCTACACCGAGATAGAGTATTTCAGGACCAAGGAGCTCCTCATCCTCTTCTAGAGGTTGGAACGGATCCTTATTCACTTCAAGTGATTGAATATTCATTGGTGTACTTAATGGGTACACTTTGTCCATGTAAAAGTATTTTTAAGACCCTCTTGGAGCTCTTC